AGAGTGTAAACAATAATTTGCAGGTCGGACGGGAGTTTTATAGGGGAAGGGATGTGGAGAATTCCAAACCTGTTCAGCCGGAAATAGCATAGGCTATGCAGTCGGATAAAGTCTCTACTAATTATTTTCATCTACCACACATAAATCAATTTTTAGTAAACCTTTTGACGTGCACAGTGGGAGAACCACGCACACAGTATCCCGCGAGCGAAATGGTTGAGGAATGTGCCACTGAGCGATACGGGTATTTAAGTTATCACAGGACATTTATCACTGCATTACCTAAAATGATTGTCTGCAACCACTAACAATTGATGCGCCCACCGTCATATCATCAGTCTTGAGCCAACATCGTTTGGACACCAATTAATTTATCTGTAACCTGAATAGCACATAGTAGTGGTATTTGGCTGCATTTTGCACTAATACTTCAGCGATTGGTTCGGATGATCTTCGACACAAGCGTCCCCACCCCACAAATGGAACAGGAGCCGTTGAGTCGCACTGTTTATGCCGTAGTCTTGCAGGTTTTCAGCCCTGTTCCTAGGAATAAGTCGGGTTACGTCAGCCTTTAGAGTTTGTAAATTATCTTCATAAGCTGTTGTCCCATTCGTCCTGTCCCCGCTGGTCCAACTCTGTTATGACCTGATTTTTCACCTTGATACGCGCTAGGGTCACCTTTTCCTCAACACTAGCAAACAGTTTTAGAGATTATCTAAATTGTCAGATCAATAGATCTGTGTGTGCGTTGCACTTACTGCGGGCAGAATAAGCCCGAATTAGGCTCGTACTAGCATACTTCTTCTGATCTTCTTTGCAAAAATAACGCAAACTTCTGTCGGAAAGAAAAAAAACGAAATGACGTCTGCAGACTAAAACGCGACTGCGGGACACTGCGGTTATATGCTGCATTCAACTTTTAAAGGATGAGGGCGTTCATCTATGATACAAAGCTAGAAATTACAACTGTAGTCTTTATAGCAATTACACACAGAACTTCTCTATTACTGCTACCGACAGCACTGCTCTTCTCGCCGTTATTTGAGCCGCTACAAGTTCTGCTACAACTTGCGTCGAGCAGGTCATAGTTAAGGCTGGCAAAAATCCCTCATTTGCTGATATTAATGGCCTGCTAGAATCAAGACAGAAGCTGAGGATTACGCTACGTGAAGCAATAAACGTAACCCGCTTCCACAACCATAATTCATTCAAATGTTCCGAGTTTTAACTTGTGGCAAATATCCATTCGATGCACTTTCTATTCTCTTTAAGCATATTTAAGCTCAAGACGGCTGACTAAGTCGCCGAGCGATGTTCCAGGGGCCTGGCCTCAACAAGACGTGAAGTCAACAGGTTGAATTGTCACCTTTTCTGCGAGTGGCTTGCTCGTTACCTGAAATACTCGTAGATAGAGCTGCTCGTCATCCGAGGCCCCAATATATTGGGACTGAGCTAGTATCGGCTAAAATCTCCGGTCCTGAATGTAATTTGGGTATTCAGCTTGCACATGACTACACAACTACGTACTCATCAATGAACAAAAAGATCTGGGTATGGCTATTGTGCCATCCCTGAAGCCGTCTCTACAGTGTGCTAGGGCTGCCAAGAGGGCGAACAGTGTTCTCTTTGCCATTAAGCGAACTTTTGTAGACATAGATAAAGAACTATTTGGCAAAATATACGGAACATTTATTCGTTCAC